TGCACTAAACTCCAAAGAAAAAGGTTATTGTGCTTAATTTTTTCATTCCAATAGTTATTAATTCCACCAAAGCTTCAGTAAAGGTTGAAAGCATAACTAGCATAACTCCCAACTTTTGTTGAACCATATGTGTAAAGTTCACACAATGTAGTCTTGTGATAGTGAAAAGCAATCTAAAGTATGAATAACCTTTTAATAATATTTGCTCAGTAAGTCATATTACAGATACACAATCCAAGTTTGATATCTTAGAGGGAAGTTTCTCTCAAAAATAACCCTCCTACTTCTGCTTTGAAAATAATCTCGCCATACCAGCAACCTCTGCTCCCATCTGACTTCACCTTAGTCTGCGCTTGCTTCTGAATAATGCACCTTGAATTTTTTCCTGGTTTATGAAAATCATTCCTAAAAATGCATTTATTCCATCTTCATTGGTCCAAAATATTGACCATCTCATTGTCCATATATCCATTACAACTCAAAGTCATTTTGAGTCATATTTAGAAATTGGGACATCTTTGTAAAAACATTACTGCTTTTTTTCCTATCTCTTAATTTGATTCACAGAGAATCTTTTCTTTGCTTGATATGTTTACATGTATAATTAAGCTATTCAAGAGACTGAATAAGCCTATTTAATAAACTATTCAAGAAGGTCACAAATTTTGGAACTAGACTGGAAAATTTAGTAAGACCCTCTCTTAGAATAAAATAGAGTATGGCTGGGGATTTGGTTTAGTTGTCCTGGGCTTATTCCCTTATACCACAGAAAATTAATAGGTAAATAAATAAATCTACAGAACAATTGGCTTACCTTTCCTACATAAAGCTGGAAATTATGTAGGATAATCATACTGGCTTCTCTTTCTTCCCTCTTTCTCTTCCTCTTACCCTTCCCTCTCCCTTTCTTCCTTCCTCCCCTTCTCCCCTCTTATATAAATTCTTCTTCTCTCTCTTATACAAATTATTTTGTGTTAGACATGATCCTGTGGCTGTAAATTTCTGGCTTTTAAGTAATTAATGTCTCTGAGCTTTTGTATTTTAGTCATGGATATAAAGGGTGTGCTAGCTTCATTGAAATTAGGGAAGTCTGGAATCCTATAAGTGAGATCACTGAACAGAATGTCTAGTAAGGCTAAGAACTGTAAAAAAATATTCAGCATGTTAATTTCTATTCCTATGCAATAGCTAAATGTGGATATTAAATTAGACAAAGCTCCATTTGTTGGTTTCTTCAGTAGATATTAAAAAAATTAGAATAATTTCTCAACTTTTTGAGTATTATATAGTGTTAATTTAGGCATGGGTCATATGTATATTTGGTACATGTATCAATATTCTCTCCTTTTTTTAAAATAGCTAAGATTAGTCCTTTTCTGTCAGCCAATACATGTGTTAGAAGTATGTAAAAGTCTCAAAATGAATAGAACATTAATAGAATTAAAATGAATTCATCATATCAATGGATCTATAAATAAAATCTTATGCTAACAAAACACCTGGAACTGGTTGAAGACAAGACAAAATTAGGAAACATTTTCCTAGAACAATCAGCATAATATATTCTAAAGGGACCATCTTAGTTTGAAGAGCTGCAGTTCTGTGGATGTTGGGTTTGAATCCTGTTTTGAGCAAGAATATTTTAATAGTCTGGCATATAATATCATTTATTTCTCCTTAAACATGGCAAATCTAAATAATAAGTCAAATGCATTTATTCTAGCAGCCAATTTAATCTTATTCTCAATAGATGTCTTACATATAAGAACATAAATAAAACACATTTATTATGTCAAAGGTATGCCTTACTTCTGACCATAAGAAACATTATTAAATTGCCTTAATCATTAGGAAACACCCAAGTCCACACTTCCAGAAATAATTTTAAAAAATTACACATTACTATTCATAGCAACATAGCTACTTTTCTATGTTAGTGCTTCTTGGTTGGTGTATCCTGTACTTCTTGGTTGGTGGCAATGCTGTACTACTCAGCAGATCTCAAAAAATGTTATTGTGTGTATATCAAGCAAACTGTTCAAATATCAGAAATTACAAATCAGGACTGCTAAGTAGAAAGTTTCTGCATCTACTTTCAACTGGTCAGTCAACAGTCAATCTAGTTAGGTACCATCTCTTTTAGAAAATAAGAACCCTCCTCCATTGCTGGTATGAATGTAAATTTGTACAACCACTTTGGAAATCAGTCTGGCACTTTCTCAGACGATTAGGAATAGAGCTTCCTCAAGATCCAGCTATATCACTCCTAGGCATATATCCAAAATATGCTCAAGTACACAAGAAAGACATTTGCTCAACCATGTTCATTTGTAAACCATGTCTATTTGTAATAGCCAGAACCTGGAAAGAACTCCAATGTCCCTCAACAGATGAATAGAAATTCATCTGAAATTGTGGTACATTTACACAAAGGAATACTATTCAGCAATTAAAAACAAGGAAATCATGAAATTTGCAGGCAAATGATCTAGAAAAGATCATTCTGAGTGAGGTATCCCAGAAGCAGAAAGACACACGTGGTATATACTCACTCATAAGTGGATATTAGACATATAATATAGGATAAACTACTAAAATCTGTACATCTAAGGAAGCTGGGCAAGAAGGAGGACCTTGAGTAATATGTCCAACCCACACTTAAGCAAACAGGATGGACATCAGAAGAGGAAGAAAACAGGGAACAGGACCAGGGTCTACCACAAAGGGCCTCTGAAAGACTCTATCCAGCAGGGTATCAAAGCAGAGGCCTAGACTCATAGCCAAACTTTGGGCAGAGTCCAGGGAATCTTGTGAAAGAAAGGGGAGATAGAAAGACCTGGAGGGGACAGGAACGCCACAAGGAGAGCAACAGATCCAAAATATCTGGACACAGGGGACTTTTCTGGGACTGTCCATGCATGGAGATAACCTAGAACCCCTGCACAGATATAGCCCATGGCAGCTCAGTATCCAAGTGGGTACCCTAGTAATGGGAACAAGGACTGTCTTTGACATGCACTCAGTGGCTGGCTCTTTGATCACCTCTCCCCTGATGCAGGAGCAGCCTTAGAGGAAGACAGATGCAGCCAGTCCTGATGAGACCTGATAGGCTAGGGTCAGAGGGAAAGGGAGGAGGAGCTCCCCTATCAGTGGACTTGGAGAGGGGTTTGGGAGGAGATAAGGGAGGGAGAGTGCATTTGGGAGTGAGTGAGGGAGGAGGCTACAGCTGGGATACAAAGTGAATAAACTGTAATTAATAAAAAAATAAAAATAATAAAAATAAATAAAAAAATAAAAAATAAAATATA